TGTAGTTTTTGAACTGACTCGTTTGCAGCGGTGCGACTGAAGGTTGTGTGAAGCTAAAGTATTGACGGCTTTGTCAAAAGCTTGGTGGGTAAATGTGTAGTGAACGGTTTATGAAGATATGTATCTGATTGCTTACCTGCTTCGTTGCGTGTACAGTGTAGGGCTACTGGAACGGCGCAGTAAAAGAGCTCGCCAACCGTGAAGTGTGTGATGGACATCTGGTTCTTTCCGAAGCATGAGATGTAAATCGTTTCATAAAATCGTCGAATAACATGAAGGAAAAACACAGCGAGAGAAACCAGGATGGTGATATGTGGAGCTAAATTTAGGGCACGTGGGGTGAGGATGAAGACATTTATCATCATTGTTTTCACGCACGTTTGAGTTCGAATTATGTGGGAACCAAATTATCTATATAAAAAGAAAAAGATCAATGATTGCTCGAGGGCGCAATCCTGCTAGGTTGCCCAGGCCAAAGCAGATGGGCTTTCTTCGGGAATTCACAACCGGAGCCTTCAGGTTAACAAAGTATGACCCGCAAGTAGCCGGGCGGTGAGTGAAATCGCCATTACTTATGACGAAACGGTTAATGAACAAACCCCGATTAAAAGGAAATTAAGTGAGGCATAGAGCGTAAAAACCAATACAAGATGGGAGAAATTATCCGCACCCTATACGGCAAAACGTCGATAGGGATTGACATATTCCGGAATTCCAGAACGAAAAGGGTCCTTTTATGTAACGGAAAACAGAGTTTTGGACAAGCATTTGGTCCTGGTCAGCATTAATTAGTTTCTGTAAGTCGAACTACGAACTTTTGGGTTGAGGTTCGGAGTCCAAACAAGCATAAACAAAATCAACATAACGTAGAGCGTCTGACTGAGAAAGTAATACAGTAAGAGGACAATGGTGGTTATTTGAGCAGCTATTTCTCCTCCAGTGGATACATCGCGAGTGAGCTGTCAGCACGCATACCGAGGGCTCGGCTAACCTTTGCAAACTTGAGACATTTGTGGTGCAGCCGGGACATCCGCCTGTCCGTGAAGGGCCCAGTGTATGCTGCAGCAGTTTTGCGATACAGTGCAGAAGCTTGACCAATAATAAAACAGGGTTAGGACAGACCGTCGGTGTCTAAGCAGCATTGTACGAATCTGATAGAGCATCCAAAGGAACAAGGCTGGAGTCCGGCGCAGAGGTTTAGGTAACGGTGGTCATCCACTGGGGCAAATGGTCGAGCTCCATAGATTACGTTGGTTACGCATGTCACCAAATAGGTGCGTAATGTTTGCAGAAGCAGGAAGTGGGTGCAAAGAAGCCAAGAGTGGTCAAACTGACACCGGGAGACTTAGTCATATAGGTCAGGTTAGGTTCTCTACATGGGGACCTCCGGATCATTGCAATCATTGCAAGACACTCAGTGCATGGTCAACAGTTGAACAAACTGAAAATGGAAAATCCAGTGCCTGAAAGAGTCTAATGAGTCCATCCAAATACCAGTCTTAATATTGAAAACACTGTTTTCCCGTCACAAATTTGAGCAAAGAAGTCAGAAACATGGGTTTGCTCAATGTATCCATGGTTATTTTGCTGCATCTGTACACGTGCATATTGCAGTCCAAGTAATTTTTATAGTCAGTGAGATAACAGATTTGAGAGAGAAAAAACAAAATCGCTAATCACAACGGACAACGCAGCGCAAAAGCACAAAAAGGGGGATGAGATAGGGCAGGGGGTCAATCACCAAGGCAAAACTAATGTGACTAACTATTCGCGTTGTTTGCATAGATCAGGTTTGAGAGTGTGAATAGCTAGGGCCTCGGAAAAGTTCAGTAATTTTGTGTTTGTTGTGTTGTAGATGACATGGAATGCGTGGGGTGGTGTGACACCGTGTTTTTGTTCGAGTAAATGTTGCGTTATCGAAGGTCTAAGCTTTCTCCGATCAATCGGTGACGTAACAGTTGCAAAATTGTCGTCCATTGCTTTCTTCAGTCACACCGGGATGTGTTCGGCCATTCGGTGACGTAACTGCCTCTCTGTCTTGCCTATGTAGACGGATGAGCATCCACACTTGAATTGGTAAATACAATTTGATTTGGCGGACGGAGGCAATGGTTCTTTCACCGATGTCGTTGGCATCCGGGTGGTAGTGAAGACAATGGCC